GTACTGTCTGTGTGCTTGTATCTTCCATTGTAGTGTCAGCCTGCGTGCCAATTGCTTGTCTGTTTGTGGTATTGTCAGCTGGTAGAAGCAATTGTGTTGGAATTGCCATCGTTGCTGTTGGCAAACTCCATGGATACACGTTGATGGTATCCAATAGTTGCTTGTCGTACTTGTCTGGCATGATCTGTCTTCGAATTGCCAGGGATGCCGACTATTGATTCTCCAGTCATTGTATCCCTGCCCAGCCAGATTCCTTTGAAGAATCTTGGCTCCATCTTGGGTTGCGCTTTTGTTGTTGGTATCATGTATTGTACTGTTTCTGCCATCTCGCATAGTGGTGCTTTGTGGTCCTTCTGCCATCGTCTTTGGTAACTTGTTTGTCCATCATTGTGCATAGCATACCTGTTCAGTAGCCAGGCTGCATGCCGGACGATCCACGGCATGACCGGATGTTGTACGCCCAGTGTGAGGTTGTAGCTTGTGGTCACTTGTTGTACCAGTGCTCGGACTTGTCCCATCAAGGTGCGATGGAATCGTTCAATGCTTCCTTGTGACTGTGACGAGTATGCCGGTGATTGTCGGATGTTGACGTTGTTTCCGAGCTTTTGTGCAACTGTCTTCAACAGGTTCTGTATGTATTCTTCTTGGTCTGATTGTAGCGTTGTTGTGGATAGTGTTGCTTGTGCTCGTCCACATTCAAACATGAATGTTTGTAGACATCGTGTCAGGTATTGTTGTTGTTGGTTCTTGTCTTGTACAAGAACTGCCATTGCCATACATGATTCGACATCTATTGCCGTAAGTACTGGTAGTACTGGTAGTACTGCTTTCATGTAGGTGAAGTCCACTTGTATCACTGGTTGTTTGCTTGCTTGTTTTGGGTGATTGTCTGTTCTTCCTTTGCTCTTTACACATATTGGGCACCATGAGCGATATGGTAAGTGTGTCAGCTCATGTTCTAGCCTCTCTTGTCTTGTTGGTTGTTGTGGCGCCTTCATCCCTTTGGCGCGTTGTGCTTGTTGAGATTCATCTTCATTGTCCGTGTCGTACTCGTACTTGTACGTCGCTTCTTCCTCGAAGTTTGTTGATCCTGTCCATTGTCTCTCAAGCTGTCTTGCTCCTGATTCCTGCTGCCAATTGTCATGGATTGTGTATCCTCTTCCTTGTTCCGTCCTGTTCACGAATGTTGTCCGTGTCGGTTTGAGTCGTCCAATGTCTGGACCATCATCTGTCTGTTGTGGTACGTACATTGTTGTCCGTGCTTGCACGTGAACTCGTTTCCAATAATGTCCTTCTCTGATCCAATAGTCTGTTGTTGGTATCATTGTTGATGGATCAGGTACTGCCGTGGTCATTGGTGCTGACTTCTTCGTTGTGTGTCTGTATAGTGGCTCTCTGCTTGCCTGTGGCGTTGTCCCGTCTCTGTCCGGGACTCGCAATGTTGTGGACTGATGTCGTGCCTGTATTGCTTGTGAAGCTTTCTCTGTCTTCTCTGTTGTCTTCGCAGTTGTAGGTGCTGATTGTGCTGGCGGCTTGTTCACTCTGAACCATGTTTCTCCTGTCCATGTGTCTCCTTGTATCACTCTTCGTTGTTCGTGTTTGTCCAAGTCATGGTATTGTTCAACAATGTCTTCGTTGTTCCCGTCAGTTCGCCGAATGATTGTTCGTCTGTAGTTGCTCAGTGTTTCCAGTGGCACTGGGCAATTGTCGCCAGGAACAAAGAGAGCTTTCCTCGCGTTCCGGTGATACCGTACGAGGTATCCTTCATTGTTGTAGTTCCAGTAGTCGCTATTGCCTCCAAGGACTTGTTGTGGTCCATGTCTTGTCAGTGTTGTTGGGGCAATCATTGCAATCATGCCCTTTTGTGTGTGTCTCAGCTGTAGTTGTTGATGTTGTCCCAGGTTCATGACTGTTGCTGGCAAATAGTAAAGGTTGTGCTGCTGCACCAAGGGAACATTGAATCCCTTGTCGTGGCGCATTGTTGGGGTGTCGTTGAACCTGATGTCAAAGCCTTGTTCTGCCAGTCTTGTCACTGACAGGATTGGGTCGTGGATGTCACACACATAGAATGGTATGACAATTGGTTGTCCTCTCGATTGCATGTAGACCCATCTCACGCCGTAGCATTGTATTGTCTTGTTCGTCACTGTCCTGAGGTTTGGGCTTTGTGCTTGATCGATCTTGTACACTGGATAGTTGTCTGCAAACCATAGTGGGCAGACATGTGTGGCTGCTCCACTGTCGATCATGATGTGCATCGTGTCTGTTATACCGCTGCTTGTGGTGCCTGTCTTGTAGTCATTGCCATTGTTGATCATGGCGATGACATGGATTGGTCATTGTTGCCATTGGGCGGAATTGGTGGGAGTGCCAATAGCTTTGTCCTGGTTGTGATCTCATGTAGTCCTGGCAGTACCATCCATTGTCATAGTAGTCATCGTACCATTGTGCTGTTGCATCCTCAATGTCGTTGCTTTCTCCTTGTCCAATGTTGTGTATTGCCACTCGGCAATCTTTGGCAAAATGTCCTGTTCTTCCACATCTGTAGCATGTATCTGTTGCTTGTTTTCCTTTGCTCTTTCCTTTGCCTTTGTTGTATCCTTTGCTGAATCCTTTGTTTCCTTTGTTGCCTCTTCCGAATGGATTGCCAAAGCCGATCGGACCGTTGTTGTAGTTGTTGAATCCTTTTCCTCCATACTTTCCTTTTCCTTTGTGGCTGTTGTTGTAACTGTTGTATCCGTAGCCGTTGTATCCTCCGTAGCCTTTGCCTTTGTTCTTCCCTTTTCCTTTGTAACTGTTGTACTTACCTTTTCCTTTGTGGATTGCATCGATGTCCATGGGTGCTTGTCCTCCACCAAAGCTTGTTGCTACACTGGATGATTGTGATCGTACTTGTTGTAGTTTGCTGAATGCTGTTGTTGATCTGTAGTACTCAATGATTGTTTGTTTTAGTTTGGGCTTTGTCCTGAAAGGAGTTGTAAGTGTTGTTGTAGTGGTCCACTTGTCTCGTTGAGCAGTACGGCAATCTTCACGGAGTCTGGGAGTGTTTGTCCATTGTCCCGCTCAAATCGTTGTAGCTCAAACTCCCATGTGGAAAATGATTCTTCGAAGTTGTTCTTGTCAAATGTTGGTTTCAACAATCTTGTCAAGTGTCCTATGGATCTTGTCCCCAATGGGATGGAGAAGCCGATGCACAGTTGTCTGTACATCTCGAAGCCAATTGTGTGTTGGTATTGTCTGCATACTGTGGCTGCTGCTCCAGTTGTTGTGTTGATGAGGATGTACCTCAAATCAGTGCTGAGTCGAACATGTCGTTCACCATCCTCGATTGTTGCTGCCGCTGCTCGTAGTTGTACCTCTGTTAGCTCTGCTGTGCCTCGTTCTGCTGCTTGTAGTAGTTCTGTGTAATCATTGTCTTGCAATCCCATGTATGCCGTGAACTTGTACTTCCATTCTTCGAACGTGCCATAGTCTCCATTGAAAAAGGGTGGTTTGAGTTTGTATCTGTTCATGTTTGCCATGTTTGTGATTGTCTCGTCTTCTGGAACTGGAGGTAGGCCATCTCCAGTTTGAGCTGCTGCTGGTTGCGCTGCCATTGTTGCAGCTGTGCAAGCTACCTATTGTAGGGTCAAGGCTTGCTCTCCGTTGTGTGTGTTTGTTGGCTTGTGCCTGTTGTTGTATTGGAGCTCACCTGGATTGTTGTTACCAGGATCCTTGCTCCGCTACCATGTAAAATTCAGCAGCTGTTTCTTTGTCATTTGTTTGTGCACGTCTCTGTATTGTTTCCTCTGGCAATTGTCCTTAGGCTCAAGGCCTCGATCCAAGGTGCATTGTACAGCACCGTGCAATTGTACATGAACAGTACGAGAGAGTAAATAAGCTATTGTAAATGAACTTGTCTCTTGACAAGAGAGAGAGAGAGAGAGAGAGAGAGAGAGAGAGGGGGAGAGAGAAGGAGAGGCAAGCGTGGCAAGAATTCCAATCAACGAGGTGTACTTCGTCTCCAAGCATGTCAAGAATTCCAATCAACGAGGTGTACTTCGTTTCAATCAACGAGTTGTAATTCGTCTCCAAGCATGTCAAGAATTTCAATGAACGAGGTGTCCCCTGCACAAGGAAAACAACTGTGAAGCTAAAACAATCCGAAAGGATCCCTATGATTCCAAGGGTTACACACACACACACGCCCCCCCGAGGGGAGGCGAGAAGAGCTAAGGGCAGGGCAAAGTGTAAGTGTGCACGCAACAAGACAAAAGAATGAAGACATGAAAAGGGGACCAGACGGGACAAAGGTGTGTGCGGTTGCGATGAAAGGGAACCAAGTGCACAGGGACAACCAATGAACACCCACCTCATTATAAAGACCTGGGCGACCTGAAGCCCAGGTTGGAGTATAGGTTGTGCGCATACACACTAAGGCCGGGACCCATGTGCGTGCAAACGAAAGAAAGGATGAGATGAATAGACATGAAGACGGGAGGACATGAAAGAAAAGAAGAAAGCAGATGTGTGTAAAGGGGAAACGGGAAAAGGATGAAAAGGGAACCAAGTGGAGGCGGTGAAGCCACACCTCATTAGAGAACCTAGGTAAACCTCGTTGAAACTGTACGTGCTGTGTGTATACACCAAAGGTCCAGACAGACTCCAACGAGTCTTGAACAAGCTTCGGCCGCTGCGGCCACTTACGCCGTGCCAAAATGGCTGGCAGCTTTGACCGCTACGGTCACGTAAAGGCATGAGCCAGCTTGGAATTCAATACTTCATCAAGTCTTGGCGAATAACTTTGGCATAAGCCTCCTACGCCCGCTCTAGGCACGTCATCTCCAAGCACTGGGCTCTGTGGCCCGGCTCTGTGTCCAACTGAACTGTGTGGCTGGGTCTGTGGCTTTTTGCAAGATAGAACCACAACAAGTAAACTGTTTGGGGAAAACTCGGTTTGGTTGCCTTCGATGCCTTGCCGGCCGTGCTCGAAAGTGCCGGACAAATCAATCTTGATCGTCCTGTGGGCACGTTGGCGGGGAACCACCTGAACCGATCAGGCAAAGGTGGCTTTGGGACTCCAAGCAACAAAGAATACCATAGAACAAAAACAGAAGACCAACAAAAAGAATGACCCCAAGCTTTCACACATGGTCATGGGGTTCATCAATGATCACGTTCAGCAAGGCAATCTGTTGCTTCTGGTTCATCTTTCAGCCCAAATTCAACTGAAACTAAGTAACTAAGACAACCAGTCAAGAGGAAACTTGTCATGTCAAACCATCCGTGACCATCCCTCACACGCTGTTGTGAGCAGGCAAAGGACACTGGTGACACACCACTCCAAACTGCCGCCTGCCACACACTGCTAACACAGTGTTTGCAGGGGGTGCGAAAGTGCAGTAGCGGGCAATATCCAAGCTGATACAGTCTATACTCGACTGTTCATTGCGAATGTAATCGTTGGTTGTTGCCCTATTGCTGTGAGTTGAAGAAACCTGTGCGCTGCCAGCTGACCATTCGTGAGGAACACAAAACCTCCCATTGCCCAAGTTGCCAAGCCCTCTCAGCACCAGGTTCTTCAAGACACAGGGATTTGACTAGCAAAACGCTCATTTTATGACATCATCAACAAGTCGCGCTTTTGTAAAAACTGTTTGCGTCAGCTCCCAAACAAGATTTTGCTGGATCTTTCACACTTGCGTTCAGCCAGATCAAACGTCTGTTGCTCCGAAGAAATCATTGCTCATCTGCTGGCAAGTGGCAAAGCTTGCACCGGAAGTCACTGGAAGTATTCCTAGGATAAATCTACCCATTCGTGAAACTCTGACTCAGACTGCTTTGCCTCTCATATCAGTTTGTTCTACACGAGGCAGGGAAGTACATAATTCACACCGCTTCGTGGTAGAAGCCGCCCGCACATATCAAAGGGAAAATGTGTCATTAGCACACCAGGAGGGTATGGGTCGGCAGCAACTTGCGCTGGTAACAATCTGTTTCGTGTCACGTACAATCATCTCCTCCTGCTTATTGCGACCACCTGCCCTCCCGATCAAGTGCAACGCTGGTGATCATCCTGAGCAGCTCCCTTGCTTGTATCGAAAACCAGACCGGCGTGCTGCTCCAGATACACCAGCTGAATAGCGCTACCACCTGTTTCCCCCACAAAACCTGTCCACCGGGACCACAATCACCTGTTTCCCTAAGAAGAAACTTCTGTCGGGCAACCTGGACGAACACGCGTCCTCGATGTCCATACTGCAGTGTCCCCAGACAGCATAACCGGCATCGCGAACGCTTGGTCCGAAACCACATCAATTTTTATCAATCTTAAAAAAACATCAAAAACCATCGCAAACGCACAATTTTTCAAAAATGCAAGGGCCCCCCCAAGCTAAAGTTTATTAAGCGGATTAATCCAGCAGCTATCTTGTGGCCTGCGCGAGCCTACACAACGCCTCAACACCTTCGGTGCGGGCGGATTCCTTGTAACTTACATTTTCCTATGGCTTTGAACTTAAAAATGTAATATTACATGTTTAAGGTATGGATATGAGCCAACACGGGAACCTCCCCTTTCTTCAGATTACATGCTTTAAGAAAATGTAAGTTACATTTATTCAGGCTGGGAGATATGTGCACTGAATGCATGAAAGGAAACAACATGTAAGCTGGTGATGACCAACCTATGAAAAAGTGTGCGCACAAGCACTTTTTTGCAATGAAGCCGAAAAGCTCTCGTTTCAAGTTTCTGGCCACCCCTAATGCCATCGACCTACCCTACAGGCCAGGATACACAAACTCCTCAGGAACCTAGTCACAACAAAATAATGTGACAATGATTGACAAACATATACAAGATTCACTCCTGCTTAAACTGTTCAACAAAAATCTGGTATCCTCAGCCATTTCTCCCACAGAGAATCACATCTTCTTTACTTGGACCATCTTTAACATGATTCGCACAGATTCAAAAAAGCACGAAAAGTGTGAATTATGCTTGATCACCGCCCCCCTCAAATTATAGGAATTGAATTGGGGGGGACCTCAGAACATGTATGCTACATTTTTCCCCCCTCCCCCCCATCTGTTGTTTGGTACCGTTGTATGCTTATTGTCTCAGTCATTCCTGGGAATGTTATGCATCTTACCTGTATATTCTCCCGTACATCGCCAAATCTTGGGGGGGGACCGTCGTTGACTGTAGTTCCAGAGATTCCGTAGGAATTCCTGGGGGTGTCCCCCCCTCAACGTAATATCAATTTTTGCCTGGGGGGTCAGCTTACATTTTTGCCCCCCAACATGTAAGTTACATTTTAAGAGGTCCCCCCCAGTTTTGAGGGTTAAGGGGGGGTGATGTAAGAAGGCTGTGTGAATTTAACCTTAGACGTCAGTCAACCTCACCCCCTAACTAAAAGTGCCTCTGCCTGGCCACCTGCCGACCGAAAGCTTAAAAAAGCATGTGCGAAAGGAAGTATATAACCTTTGAGCAAGCACCATACTGTACTCGCAGACAAGCCCTGGACTTTAGTTGGCAGAAAAACCAAACATCTGACATCTGCCACAAATTGTGGTTGGCCCCAGGCTATCAAGCTAGTAGCAGCGTAGCAGCAACGTTGACTATGTACAAGCAACATTGCAGCCTCTTGCAGCTGAAGGAACTCCAAGGAACAGGTGCCGCAAGACCAGCAACTGACTTCTCCACCCCGGAGAACCACAAACCTTGTCGCTCCAAGAAAGGAAACACACAAACACATTGCAGCCTGTTACACAACTTGGCCATCAAAGCTTACAATGCTGTGGCAAGTGGGCATGTATTGGCACCTCCGTCGCAAGGGCTCCACCGTGCCTGCAATCCCGCAATCATGAATTCACCATCCAAAATCCCTGTTTACAAAAACAAAATACCCAGAGGTGTACGGTAATCGCCAAGGCACTATGTTTGCAATGATCTATCAACACTCAACACTCACTTCCTCAAAGCACCAAGACAAGAAAACTACTGGCTACTGACATCGCTTCCAGCTCCACCAGACAAGCTCAACAAGGCTAACGATGGACCAAGCACATGTGACAGGACGTGCATGTAAGGGCAAACAAACGATGTAGAGCACGTGACCTAGTCATTGACAGCCAACAGAAAACTTGCTGTTGCATATTTGTACGTCTGCAACAGTGTGCAAAGCGCCCTTGCTAGACACGCTTGCTGTGGAACACTGCAGACCACTGCAGGTCTCCTCAACCTAATCCAACTCAGTGACCTGACCTGACCTGACGTTGTGGTCTAGTGACTTGTTTCAAACAGTTCCACGATCAGCGCGTCCTACTATCACCGCGTGCCTACGTTCCACATTTACTTGATGCATTCTTGACATGTCTAAAGGTTTCTTCACGACGGAAACATCTTTTGCTGAGAGCCCGACCAGGCTCAACGACTGCACGATCTAGGCCTTCTATTGACAGCTCCTGCGCCCAACTCTTGCACAAATGGCTAAGCTTACTCAAGAAACCATATGCAGCTCAATACGTTTCACAACCTAAATGTGTTGAATGTTCAGTATACACATTTGGCACATTTCATGGGGTAGCACAAGCCTGCAGTGGAAATTATTTGAACAATTCTTAAGATTTCTTAAACCATTGTGGAGGGTTGATAGTCCAGTAAGGATCCACAAATGGTCCGCGGGATCTTCCACTGGGTCTCACAGGGTTAGCTGCTTATTAAGATAATATCTTGCTTTAAAAGCAACCCATTTCAAAAGGCATACAGTCTACATTCTCATGGTTTTCAGGTGTCAGCAGGGCAATGGATGCCATTTCATGACGCGTGTTGGACAACCTTGCCCAGTCGATGTTTACAGTACATGCTCTGACGGTCCGACGGTCTTTCACCAACCCCATTAGTCTGATCTGTCTCCTCTGCAGTAATACGCCTCAAAGAACGACCGTGCTGCAAAAGGCATCCGAAAAGAACACCTGGCAAGTGGTCCAGGAAACAAATGGAGCGCAGTATACAGTATACCAGCAAGTATCTCAATAACTAGACAAGTTCGATGCGTGTGTCAGCGACAGGCTGGTTGTAGTTGGGGAAGGCCCGCCATGGCTGCCTTGTGAGGTTTGTTCCTTGGATTGAATGTGGTGGGTTTCTTCACAATCCGGTCCCAAAGTGGAAGTGTAGTGATCATCCGGGTTCTAGTGTTTCCATGCCTCTGGCTACCGCTTCTTGCAATATTTGTTTATTACCCTGTGGCGAGGGTTGTTGCAAATCCATGGCTGCAACGAAAGCAGGTCAGTGGGGATGAAAGCAAACAAACTTGTGGCCCTTCGGGGGGTGGCGAAATCTAGGCAAATAAACAACCAACACAACCAACACATGTCAACACACAACCACCCCAGCAACCGCGGCAGCAGCAGCAGCAAAGCAGCAGGACAGCAGCAGCAGCAGCAGCAGCAGCAGCAATGCAGCAGCAAAGCAGCAGCAAAGCAGCAGCAAAGCAGCCGCAAAGCAGCAGCAAAGCAGCAGCAAAGCAGCAGCAGCAGCAGCAGCAGCAGCAGCAAAGCAGCAAAGCAGCAGCAAAGCAGCAGCAAAGAAGCAGCAAAGCAGCAGCAGCAGCAGCAGCCGCAAAGGCAGCAGCAAAGGCAGCAAAGGCAGCAGCAGCAGCAAAGGCAGCAGCAAAGGCAGCAAAGGCAGCAGCAAAGGCAGCAAAGGCAGCAGCTACCAAGCAGCAGCAGCAGCTACCAAGCAGCAGCAGCATCAACAGCAGCTACCAAGCAGCAGCAGCATCAACAGCAGCTACCAAGCACCAGCAGCAGCAGCAGCAGCTACCAAGCAGCAGCAGCAGCATCAACAGCAGCTACCAAGCAGCAGCAGCAGCAGC